AGATAAATAGAAGTATTAATGTAAGAGAAAATTAATCTTATTGTATATAATACAGATTGGGAAACATGGAGAGAGGAGTTGCTCGGACATTACCCCTGAATTGTATCTGAAGAGGGATGAGAGGGAAGAAAGGAGAGGAGAGAGAAAAGAGTAAAGGAGGGGAGAAGGAAGTAGGAAGGTTGGAGGAGAGAGTGGTGAAGAGAAGAGGAGAGGAGAGGAAGAAGAGGGAAGTAGGGAAGAAAGAGAAGGAAGGGAGAAAGAAGGTAGAGAAGAAGGAGTGGGGATGCAGTGAACAGGGAAATGGGCGAGCAACACCAAAAGTCATGTGTATGTATTTATTTCATTAAAAGTATCTTATATATAAGAATGTAAAAAGAATGTATGTTAATATCTGATAAATATCACGGTATATGTATGGGGGAGAGTTTGGAAAAATAAAAAATAAATTAAAAAAAAAAAGGAAGCTGTGTTTCGGAGTACCAAAGTGAACAAGATACAACAGGGATGGCGAACCTTTTAGAGTTTGAGTGCTCAAACTGCAACCCAAAACCCACTTATGTATCGTCGGGTGCCGGGTGGGTGTGGCCCATTGGGTGGGCGTGGCTGCGGTGGTAACACCAGACTGGGTGGGGCTAAAAAGTTCAATCAATCAATTCCAACTTTGCAAGATCTTTTTTTTCCCCCCACGAGAAGTTGAAATTGACTGATTGATTGAATGCCGCCTCTGGCACCCATGCCATAGGTTCGCCACCACTGAGATACAACCTTAAGTTCTGCATGACAGTAAGAGCTTGAAACAAGTGTTCTCATTCTTTTACAGGTGTACAACTTTTGTTAATGCAAAACTTGCTTGTTGTTATTTTTAAGCTTCCACATAGTTGGGGGGGGGGATCTAAGAAACACCGATCTAATCAGCAATATACATTCAGATCTAGTACAAAGTCTCACTCAAAATTGTCTTATGTGGTTTTTCTCATGCAAAGATGATCAAGTCCGTATCTGACCACACAATCTAAACTCATCCAAGGCAAAAAAAAATCCTGAGGTATGTAATTCATATTCAATAGAAGCATTTTTCAACTATTATTCTTAAAGACAATTAATGCATGTGCAGAAGCAATTACGAACACCAATTAGGTCATGAACAAACACAGGAAAGAGAAGAATCACAATCATTGAAGCAAATATAACATTATTTAAGCTGAACAATATTTTTCTAATAAAAATGGTATTCCCTTACGGATAAACTGCTGGATTCTGCGTGGAAGCAGTTAAGTGGGACTCTGCCAGCTGTGGGTTGGTTTGTTCCTACTTATTCTACCCACAGACTTTCCTATCCAACAGACTTTTCAGGAAAAGGGAAGTTTATTCTGATTAGAAGTCTGAACTGGTTGTTTACCGAAGCTTTTAGAAATCAGGCTAAAGGTTACAGACAGCCTGAAAGTCAGAATAAATATCCTAGATAAATACTTCACAACCATAAATCCATCTACTTTTAACTCATCTGGGGAATGAGATAGACATTAACGCTGCAGGCACACAAGAGGTAAAATAGGCCTATACATTCTCAAATAATGGGGTAGATCCATTTGACAAAAAAAATTACTTATCAAATAATTAACTGTCCCTTAATGCCTATTCTGAAAACAAGGTTAAGAATTTTACCCATTATTTTAATTTAATCCACACCACATGTGGACATTTACAAATACTATTGAAAAGGAATCTCCAGAGAGCAGGAGAGTGATATGCCATCCTGAGAGTAAAGGACATAATTATTAGGTAAGAGGGAAATATGTAACTGACCAGGTATTTTTAGTCAATGTTCGATAGTTCTTATGCATTACAACTGGAAAACAGGACATATGCCTATAACCTACAGCAGGGGTCTGCAACCTTGACAACTTTAAGACTTGTGGACTTACGCTGGCTGAGGAATTCTGGGAGCTGAAGTCCACAAGTCTTAAAGTTGTCAAGGTTGCAGACCCCTGACGTACAGTGGAAGCTATAAAAAATATCTGTTACTGGGAGACTCAATTCCTGTCTTGAACAAATCTGTTTTAAATGCTGTAGAGCAAGGTTTTGCAAATGTGCAACTTTAAGACTTAAAAGTTGCTAAGTTTGAAAAACACCATGGAGAGCAATTGCAACTTTAGGAAAACAATATTTCCCATGTGTGGCTGTTGAGGAGAAAGAGGAATCAGAAGAGTGCAGGAAGCAAGCTCTGACTCACCCGAGCCGTTGATTGCCACGCCTGCTAACGTCTGAGCCACTTCATCCTGGGTATCGCAGAGCTGTGGGAGAAGTGGAAATTTTAATTACAGATATGCAGTTAATGTACAGCCTGGAGGACAGAAGGGAAAGGGGAGGGGAACATGATGAAATCTTTACACATATAAAGTGTGTGGATAAGGTTCTAGAAGGCAGCATTTTCAATACTAAGCAAACATCAAGAACACAGGGCCATAACCTCAAACTGACAGGAGGGAAGTTCAAAAGTCATGCTAGAAAGTGTTTCTTCACCGAATTAAATTCACACGGTGCAATAAGATTGTGTGTTTGTTGTCACTGTGAGTTGTGTTGGGTGGGTGGGTGCGCGAAGGGAGGCTCAGCCAATCTCATTGTACACATGTTGTACTTTGACAATAAAGGTTGATTTGAAGAGCAGTGGAAGCTGGGAACCAACTTCCAGCAGAGGTAGTGGATCAGCCATCAGCAGCTGAGTTTAAACATACTTGAGATAAACAAATGTCCATCCTACGACAAAAAATAATTAAATAAATATATAAATAAATTAAAAAAAAACTGCAAAGGGCAGACTTGATGGACCGCTAGGACTTTTTCTGCTGTCAGTTTTCTATGTTACTATCTGATGTTTTTAGTCTACCCATGTATGTCTCCTGTGTGTGAGCAGTACCTGCTTCTTACGTACCTCTTGAATCTGATCCACTAGGCTCTCTGCCTTTTCCACAGTCACATCTTTCATAGACAACTTCAGAGCTCCTAGTCCAGCCTGATAAGCATTAAATACCTTTTGGGCAAGAGAGAAAACAAACTTATTTTTCTATAGCATCTTGACCAGACGACTGCAGATTTTAGAGCTTCCTTTACAGCAATTCCAAGGTGGTTTAAGCTCAAGATTAAACAGTATATAACTCACAGCACAGCACTGTGCCATACAACAAGCAAATGTGGATTCATTAGCCTGCTGAGGTGCACAATCTAATACATATATTGTAAAAGGAGAGGAAGAGAAGAGAGTTATTCCTTGTTTGGGACAGTCAAAGTGAGACCCTCAGTGGAACGGTTAACACTGCTCCTGAAAGAAAAAAAATACGCAAGTATACAACGCCAAAAAATAAATGCCAGGCAACAAACAAATACCATTTGATCTGTCTGAGAGGCATAGATGCGATCTAGGATGCCTTGTACCACGTCCAGCTTGGAATGAAGCTCTGAAATGCGCCTTTCCACTCTTTTTCTGGACTTCAAAGATCTCAGGGCCTAAGAACAGAAAAAGCAGACTTTATTCAAAAGCTAGAAAAGAAAAAAAAAAAAAACCAGGAAATTGAGACTGGGCAAAGTGGTGCCGGGTTAGTCAGATAAGAGATAGCATAGTCCACAGCTTCACAGCTGACAGGACAAGAGGCTCAGGAGGGACCCTCCCTAAGTTATGGGGCTGTAAACGTTGACAGTGAGAGAAATGCAACTTCACATTTGCCAGATTCTTTAATGTAGCTTTGAAATAAAGTAGAGTTAGTTTATGTAACCGTATTTCCATCAGGTCTACCAGGTAAGCCTGACAAAAGATCTGTGTACATCTGTATAATAACACCCGAACTCATCCATTGTCTTAACAGATTCTAAAAAGTCATGACCACAATTTTTTGGAAATCTGCAACAAGGCAGTTTGGAGATGAACATACCAATAGGGACACCATGTACCTGACTTCCACCAGTACCTACCAGTTGCTTCTTCCCAGCTTTACAGGCCCTCCGAGCCTCCTCTTTACATCTGAAAAAGCAAGAGAGATGCTTGTCCATATTTTGGATCAGGAATAGCTACAATCCCATTGTTCTCTCTGTACCTTTCGCCCAGCTCACTATAGGAGGGGTCCCCCACCCTGATCCGTGGACCGACACCAGGCCACGGAATGCCAGAAACCGATCCATGCAAACAAGCGAAGTCCCATCCGCGGGATGCAGGCGGCACGTGAAACCATGCCCCTTCCGGTCTGCGGAAAAAATCTCTCTCCACGGAACCGGTCCCTGGTGCCCAAAAGTTTGGGGGCCGCTACACTACAGCTAAGACAATTACAAATACAATTCTTATTTTCTTGGCGTGAGTGTGTGTATTATTTAATTATCAATTAAACTGCTTTAATAAGCCCTGCGAACTACCGTAATTTTGCCCTCTATCAGGATCAGATTTTTTTTCCTGTTTTTACAAAGATGAACGACACACCCCCCACATTACCTCTCTGCTTCCTGCGCCAGAGATTCCACTTTCTGTGACAAGAGCTGCTCACTCTGCATCAACTGATAAACCCCAATGTCTACATCATTCATTGGGGAGACTTTTGCGTGAAGCCCTCGGGCGAATTTCATTATCTGAAAGACAATGTTGTTATTTGATATTAAACTATGAGACTTGTGGTGTCATCAAGAATTAGTCTTTTAATAATGCGAGTAGGATGTATTATTGTTCCTAAGGGGATGCGATGGCTCAAGGGTTAAAGACGCCGAGCTTCTCAGCTGGAAAGCTAAATAGCCCAGATTCAAGATTTGAGTGCTGCGCAACAGTGTAAGCTCCCGTTACTTGCCCCAGCTCCTGGCAACCTAGCAGTTTGAAAGCATGCACATGCAAGTAGATAAATAGGTACCACTTTGGTGGGAAAATAACAGCATTCCATAGGCCTCAGCACATAGTCACGCCAGCCATATGACCACGGAAGTGCCCTTGGTGCCCTCAGCTAAGAGACGGAGATGAACACTGCCCCTGAAAGTTGGACACGACTGGACAGGGGAAACCTTTACCTTTATTGTTCCTAATTTATCTTTTAGAAATGAATTGCTCACACGGTTAGTTTTACCCAAGATTTCAATATTATTTTGCTTCCCTCTATGGATTTGTACAAGTGGGTGAGTGTGTTGAGTTAGCCTCGGCTCCCGATGACTATCTAGATCAGTGGTTCTCAACCTTTTTAATGCCGCGACCCCCAACCGGTCGTAAGTCGAGGACTAAACCGGTCGTAAGTCGAGGACTAAACCGGTCGTAAGTCGAGGACTACCCAACCGGTCGTAAGTCGAGGACTTTCCCTGCCCGGGAGCGCCGCGCATGCGTGGTTCCGCCCCCTGCGCCGGCCGAGGCGTAGCTGACAAGCGGCAGAGACGGAGCAGGCCGACCACCAGCTGGCCCAGCTCAAGGGAGGTAAGGCACCCGCCGGAAAAGGGGAAAAAGATGGTGGACAGCCTTGCTTGGCGACCCCCGTGAAATGGTCGCTCGACCCCAAATGAGGTCGCGACCCATAGGTTGAGAACCGCTGATCTAGACTAATCCCTGCAGTTTTCTTTGCAAATGTGGAATGTATTTATTCAATTTATTAGAAGTGGTTTTTTTTTTATAGAGATAGGACACTGCCTGAAGCAGCCTGTTGCATGCCGTACCTTATTACCATTCTGTTCCAGGACAGTGACTCTTTTCTCCTTCTGCAATTGGAGCAGCACCAGACAAAATGTTCGTTCATCTGGACAGGTGCTGGTGCATAGGGAACGCAGCTCAGCCAGACCAACAACAGGATGGGATGAAAGTGTGGAATTCTGGTAGAGATTATAGACTTCTTCCGCCTTCTCCTAAAAAAATGCAAAGACAAACAAATACCTAGTATCCAACTGTGGCTAAAAAGAAGAAAGAAAATAGACAAGACATCATTACAGGTGATGGCATCTTACAACTATCACTTACAATGGAAGGCATAATACCATACAGATCATCAGACTTGCTCTATGTGGCTTGTATATTGAATATTCACAGAGAAGACTAAACAGTGATCATTGTACAACAGTTCTTAAATTACATGTTTCCAATAGCTAACTTGCACTTAACAAGGTGAAAAAATAGAACATGATCCATGTCACAAGAGGGAAAAAAATAACATTATATAAAATAACAGAGATATAATTCTTTTTGAGAGTCAATTTAATGCAGAAGTTAGTCACATTAGTCAAACCTGACTCAAAGGAAATAATTTTTTACAGCAAATATTCTGCCATTCATATCTATAAAGTTTTACCTGTTCCTGTACTATTTTATATTGGATCACAGCAGAGGAATGTACTATGAAATCTTCAAGGTTGCACAATCTTGACTTGGCTCCTATTCTTAAATTATTGTTATTCCAGCTGATCAGTTAAAGGACTGTAAGAACAATTGCTTGTGTATTTATCGTTATTCTTTTAAATATTATTAGGATGAAGAAAAAGAAAAAAACCACTTGATTTTTTAAGTGCTGCTCTTACACTTTTTACTTCATGTAAGTAATTTCTTGGAGACAAATCTTGCTGGAGGATCATAAGGGGGAATGTTTCATGAATAAGAAAACGAGTTATGTCTGAAACAAACATATGTCTGTCAAAAACATCAGTGTTTGAAAGTTAAATATTTCCCTCCTTTAAATAGATCTGCTTAATGGTGACATTTTACAGAATCTCATCTTTCCCAAGGATCCCTTTATGTCAATATCTATACATCCTTAAACTGAACAGAATAACATAGTTGGAAGGGACTTGGAGATCTTCTAGTCCAACCCCCTGCTCAGGTAGGAAACCGTATACCATTTCAGACAAATGGTTGTCCAATCTCTTCTTAAAAACCTCCATTGTTGGAGCACCTACCATTTCTGGAGGCAAGTGGTTCCACTGACAAATTGTTCTGTCAGGTAACTGTCAGATAACATGACAACTTAACTAGATAACAAGGGGTGACATGATAGCAGTAGTCCAGTATTTGAGGGGCTGCCACAAAGAAGAGGTGGTCAACTTATTTTCCAAAGCCCCAGAAGGCAAGACAAGAAACAATGGATGGAAACTAATCAAGGAGAGAAGCAACCTTAATTGTCCTAACAGTGAGGACAATTAACCAGTGGAACAGCTTGCCTTCAGAAGTTGTAGGTGCTTCATCACTGGATATTTTTAAGAGAAGACTGGACAGTCATCTATATGAAATGGTATACGGTCTCCGTGGTCCCTTCCAGCTCTATTTTGTTTGATATGTCATCTCTACTGCTCTTCCACTTTCTGAAAAATTTCTAATTCTCAAACCAAACAATGTAAAAGTAATATGTTAGTTCTATGCATCTGGGCATTCTAGATAAGCATTATTCACAGGCACTAAAGTTGCCTTTTTCAAAATATGCCGTTTGAACGTTTAACTGTGATAGTATAATTCTACAGAAATTGTATTAGCAGGATATATATCTGTATGAGGTTTGTGCTGTATATTTGTGCAAGAAAGCACTGACTCAGACTGAAAGCACCTGGGGGGGGGAGTAAAAGCCTTGGAAGGAGCTGCATTTGCATGGTTTAATCTATTTCTCAAAAATATATATATATATTTTTGTCTCACATTGCTCGGGAGATGCAGTAAAGTATTAAAAAAAGATAGGAATCCAAACGGTTTCATAATAAACTACGGCTGCTGCAAGCTGGTTTCTTTTGCTCAGCTTAGCTTTTCTTCTTAGGTTGCTTGGTACAAATTATTATTATTATTATTATTATTTTAAAAAGCAGCTTTCTACACTGATGTCAGTATATTTCCCCAAGGCTATGGAGAAAAGCACCTCTGTCAAAAAGATAACCAGCACAATGGGTTGTGAGACAGCAGGATGAAGATCAGAACCTCATATCCTAAATGATAAAAATAGCAAACCATCAAGAAGTAAGATAGATAGATGAAGCCCTGGGTACAAGGTCTCTGCTGTCATCTGACAGCATTCCCTGATACACATTAGGCCTGGCTGTGGAGTATAAATCATCATAAATTAAGTCATAATTTCTAAGGAGACATTTCCTGACAATTAGAACGATTAATCAGTGGGAACAGCTTCCCTCCAGAAATTGTGGTGCTCCAATACTGGAGGTTTTTAAGAAGAGATTGGACCACCATTTGTTTGAAATAGTATATAGGATTTCCTGCTTGAGCAGGGGGCCGAGCTAGAAGACCTCCAAGGTCCCTTCCAACTCTTT